AGGCATATTTGTAATTCTTTGAATCTAATCAACAAGATCAACAATCCTCTTTCATTTCTTGTTTTGTCATGTCCCAGATATTGTTATAGGGCCCAAGGATACTAATTCAGATGCAGTCAACAGAGTGAGAATAAACACAAGATTGAGGGGCAGGGGACAAACACAGAAACAAATATCATCAATTATATAAAAAAAAGAGATACAGAGTATATTGGGGAATAGCAATCCATCTGAAGATCTTGGACAAAGCTTTACACAGGTGGAGATAATTGCACAGGGTGTTAAAGGATAAACAGGAGTTAAGGCTAAGAAGTTAAGGGACTCTCTAGGTAGTGCAGGTGGCATGGTAAGATTCTGAATAGTGGCTGATCATCATGGGAGTATCTAAGAAACAGCAATCAGTCTGTCTGCAGTGACATTACCATCAAATGAAGCTAGTGAACAAGAACGTTGGGAAAATACAGATTCAAATCGACTGGAGAAGGGAATAAAGGAATTTGGAATTCTCCATGAAAGGAGGAATTAGCAAGGAAATGACATGACAAGACTGGAAAATGAATCCAGCAACTTAATACTAGAAAGAAAGCCTAGTTATGACACTTTTCACAAATATCCAATTGAAAGATGGTGATGTGTAATTAAAATTTTACCACTGGAGACTGACAGTAGGTTCTAGAATTACAAATCTAAGTAGAATTGACATGACATGATATGACACAACATGATATGAATGTGAGGAATAAAGAAGAGGGAGAAATGAAAAATGTTGGTGGAGACTATTTGTGAATAGAAATGTCATTAATCAATATATGGACTTCCAAAGAATGGTACATTTTGGGAAGGAGTATGATAATAAGTTCAGTTTTGAACAGTATGGGCTGAGGTATCTAAAACACATCTATGTGGAGGTGCACTCTGTTAACTTGAACAAACAAAATACAAAAACAGAACGCATATGGGAGTCTTCTATGTATTTGGCGGGAATAAATGAGAACATCCATAGTTTAAGAACAGTCGATAGAACATGCCTTTGATGCTAAAATGTAATAACCATGAAAACAAATGAATGATTCTTGCCTTAAAAACCCCTTCAGCTAGTGATCATTATTTCTCACTCAAGAGCTCGCATTCTTGCTCTGGTTTAAAAAGCTACCATTAAATTAGCCTGTCTTCTTTTTGTTCCTCTTAACTCCTCTTTTTAAAGATCTATTTGTTTTATTTGAAAACCAGAGTTACAGGCAGAGAGGGGAACAGAGAGAGAAATCTTCCATCTGCTGGTTCACTCCCCCAAATGGCCACAATAGCCAGAGACAGGAGCCACATGATTACAGGGTCCCAAGCATGAGGTCCACCTGCCACTGCTTTCCCAGGCCACAAGCAGGGAGCTGGATGGGAAGTGGAACAGTCGACACTCTTATCAGCACCCATATGAGATGTCAGCATAGCTGTTAGAGGATTTCCTTGCAATACCACCAGTCTGGCCCGTATTCACCCTAATTTCTAGAAAATCAAGATTTACTTCAACAAAAACTCCTTCCATCACAGATGAAATGCATAGAAAAAAAAGGACATGAAGTAGGTGATTTGTGATTTTTTTATAGCACAAATCAAATTATAGTTTCTTAAAAATGTGTATTCTGCCGTTCTAGATAGAAGGATCAGAAAGCAAATTTATTGATAAATATTTATTGAGTACTTACCAAGTTAAAGTGGGAGGTATAAAAAAATGTGTGCAGGCATGATTATAAAGGATCTGTAATAGCCAAAGGAAGTTTTCTGTAAGATCCCCAATATATTGGATTTATGTAAACCCCAAGTTTGGAACTTGCTAAAGCAAGTCTAGATGAGTACGTGAGGAATTGGGGGAAGTAAACACATGTGGTTAGAGAAATACAGGTGGAGATACGGGTGGATCTGGATTTGGTTAGGAATGAATCAGAGCATCCTCCGAGATGGCTCCACCCAATTGGACGATATATAAAGGCCATCAACTGAAGCTTCAGTACCCAGCAAGCTCCTTCAGCCTGCATTCTCCTTGCTCTTCTGGTGAACAAGGTAAGAGAGAACACATATAAGGTTGTCTGTTTAACATTAAGCAAGAAAGACATCTAGATGAATGTGTACTCTAAGGCAAAGAGTTCTGGCTGCTTAATGATTTTCGTCTTTATTTTTAGTGGCACTATTACCAAAAGTTTATTTCAATATAGCAAGAAAATAAGTATACATTTGTTTGCCATGAAGACACTCAGAATTCTCTTTCATTTTCACAATATACATTTATTTATTCATTTGGCATATCTGTATTAACCACCTTCTATTTGTTAAGTGCTGTTCTTAGCTTTGATTTTGTAGTACTGAACTAAAACTCTCTACCCTTGGAAAGTGACATTTAGTATGGCAAGATACTCAATACCAATCATTTCAAATGGTCATCAGAATTTAGAGGAGTAGAGTATGTTAGATGTAAAATGACCAGAGAAGACTGGTCTAAGGATTTATTCTTTTTTCAACTGACACATAACAATTATGCATATTTGTAAGGCATAGTGTGGTACTGTCACACATGTTTACAATGTGTAATGATCGAGTAAGGGTATTTAGCATATGCACACCTCGAACATTCAGAATTTCTTTGTGGTGGAAGCATTCAAAATCCTTTCATCAACCTGCTATTGCGACCTACAGGTATTCCACTATGCTGCAAAATGTACTTGTTCTGTTTAGACTTGATAACCAGCCTCTCCCCATCCACTTCTACCCACTATTCTTCCCACTCTCTGATAACTACAACTCTTTCCTCCTACTTTTATAATACTAGTTTACTTCCCACTTAATAAGTGAGAACATCCGTGCTTGTCTTTTTGTGTCTGGCTTATTTCAGTTAGCATAATGCCCTCCAGGCTTGTCCACATTGCCATAAATTATAGTGTTTCGTTCTTTATTATGGCTGAGTAAATATTCCACTGTGTGTCACATTTTATTGTCTAGTCTCTCACTGATAGACTCCTAGTTTAATTTTGGCCATTGTGAATAGCGCTGAAATAAACCTCTATCTCTTCAACATACTGACTTCTTTTCTTTGAATATACATGAGTAGCATCACTGCTGAATCATATAATTCTATCTATACTTTTTTGAGGCTCCTCTATACAGCTTCCCATAATGGTTGTACAAATTTATGTTCCCAAGAACAATGGATAGGAATTCCCCCTTCTCTGCATCCTTACTGGTATTTGTTCTTTTTTAACTGAGAATATTCATTTTAACTGATGAGGATATCTCATTGAGCTGAGATTAAATAACAAAAGGAATTAGCCAAGGCAAAGGACAGAACTGTAAAGCAGGAGCAAAGTTGGTTCAAACAATAACAAGAAATGATTGTGCCTAGAGCAAATTTAGAAAGACATACAGTGGTGTATGGTGATGCCGGGGATCTTGTACAGAGGGGACACAGTAGTCTCTATCCATTATTTTAAATACACAAGCAATCACTGGAGGGTATTAGGCAGTGAATGTTGTTAACAGACACTCTGAACTACTATGCAGACAACAGATTATGGGAAGGCAGGCACAGGGAGACAGACAGCAGGTTAGGTGAGACATAACATAAAGGGGAAGAAATAGCTGTGCTGCCCAAGCCAAATCTAGAAGCTGTACCAACTCATATCCATGTTCAATCAACGCAGCTTACAAAACACCCAAAACCATCCACTTGTCTCCCTCTCCACTGTTATCATCCTGATCCAGGGTCCACTCATTGCCCACCTTTCACTCTGTCATTTTATGAAAATATCAAACTTATTTTCTGTTTTCTTATGGCTAGACTTTTGGGGTGTTTCCATCAGAGGAGGGTTATGAGCATTTTCACATAGGATTTTCAGCTATATATTTATATGCATAAATATGTATGTGTTTCCATTGAAAGTAATTCTGAAAGTCAGTAGCTGGGTCTTAGATCCAGCCAAAGGATCAGCTTATCTGCTAATTCAGCAAAATCAAATAACAGTTCATCCATCAAAGTGATTAAGGCAAAACGAAAACAGAAATTTGACAATATGAAATATTTTTTCTTTCTTAGTTTCTATTAACATATATATTTCTAATTGTCACTTTTCCTGTAAAATGGTGTAGAATGATAAAACTTTTCTTTTAGTGGATATCCAAAAACTTATTAAATTCCTTTTCCCTCTTATCAAATAATCCTGTTCTATCTGCTGTAGTTCCAACTACTATAGCAACATTTTCATGTTATTTTTCCCAATAGTATTTTAGTCTCACTTGATTTTATCAGTCATAAAGTGCTCATTAACTTTATTTTATATAATAAATGCTTGTTTAAATGTGATGATATGCTTATTAACAACTCAGTTTACAATAAGGTAAACTAGAAAATCTGCTAAAGGCAAAATGAAAGCCAATTGTCTTCACCCCCCTCCAAAAAAAAAAGCCACTAAAAAAAATAAGAAGCTATAAATTGTAACTATCCAATTAAAAATGGCACAATATGAATTTTTTAAAAAGAAGATTTAGTGAAGAATTGTTCAGACTTTTGCCATTTGGCAAACTGGTTTTCAAATATCTGAGCAAAGCAATCATTTATAAGATTAGTTTTTTGATAACTGATTTTCAGCACATTCATAGGGGCAAAATTCCCTGCTTCTGCAATTGTTGATCGGAATGGCTTCATCAGGCTTTTGCTTACTTAAATACACAAGAGTCTGAAAGAAAACTTAAATCCTACTATAAATGGATGTGGCCAAGAAACAGCCAATTTCAGGATGTCAATTCAACACTGGGGTCGACACTGTACCATTTTCACCAGGTAGATGGTAAAGAAGATTTTGCTGCCTGTCTTCCATTTTCAATATGGATTACTTAGGAGGGGAAATAGGTTCAAACTGTGGAAATTCATTACAATAATGAGTATTATCTAAAACAATGAGAAAGTCACAGGTAAATTTTTATTTCTTTTTTGTTAGGTTCACATATATTGCCAAAAGATGTCTACTCTCCTGGAAAACATCACTGCCATCATTGAACTTTTCCATCAATATTCACAAAAAGATAAAGACACCGACACACTAAGCAAACAAGAGCTGAAGGAACTGCTGGAGACGGAGTTTCGGACAATTCTAAAGGTAGGACTAGTTTCACTAAAAGTGGGAGGGTTTCTTTGTCAATAATTTGGCCAAAAACAACTCCATACATCTTGAATAATGTATGGAATAGAAACTCAGTCTCTTCCACAAGAGGAAGAATTTGAGTTCATACTTAACCGCTTTGTGTATATATATATACTAGCTTTAAAAAACAAATATTAACTATTAATATGTAATGACAAACAAAAGAACACGAGCTAGACAATTCTTCATCATATTCTTCTCAATATAAAGTTTAAGAGAATATATTTAAAAGGTTACCAAATTGTGGATCCTATTAACGTTTTGTTTCAAACAAATGCAGCTAACAAAAAAGGCATAACATGGGATCAAAACTGTAGAATCATAGTGGGAAAGAAGTAGCAAAAGAGACCGCAAAAAAAAAAAATGATTCTTTTTGGCAACAATGTTGACAAACCAGAGTTAACGCTAAGCTAATGCATGATGAAGTAGGTGCATCTGATTCAATCTCTATTTGTGCAGAACCCAGATGACCCAGATACCGCTGATGTATTCATGGAAATCCTGGACATAGACCACAATGAAAAAATAGATTTCACAGAGTTTTTACTGATGATATTCAAGTTGGCGCAAGCTTATTACCAGTCCACCAAGAGACAGAACTTCCACACATCAGGGCGAAAGCACAGAAAGCACAGTCAGAGAAGTGAAGGAAAAGGGCATGAGACGGAGGAAGAAGAACAGAAGAGATCCACAAAGGATCACGGAAGAGTTGGGGGGAAAAAGAAGAGGGAAAGATCCAACACCTCAACAGAAAGTGGAAAAAAGAGACATGGCTCAACCTCAAGAGGACGAGAGAAAGGAAATGACACGACGAAACATTGGGAAGAGGAAGGAAACAGAAAAAAGCATCATGATGAAATAGAAAAGCAAAAACAGCCACCTACATCCACAGAAAATAAGGGAAAGAAACACAAAACAAACACAAAAGTACATAAAAAACGAGAAACAGCAGAAGATGAAATCTACTTGGACCGAGAAATAGAATATTATTCAAATTGCCAGGAAAATCAGTATTATAATAGATACTATGCAATGGAAAACAATGAACCCTCAGTAACACGAGGAGAAAAAAGCAGCAAAAGACATCAAAATCACCACGACGAGTCAGCAGATGAAGTTACACATTCAGGAAAGAGGGAACATCAATCTGAAAGAGAAAGAGAGAGACACCAGAGACCCAGCTCTGGTCAGGCCAGCGACAGCGAGGGCCATTCTGAAGACTCGGCCAGGCACACCACAGCCACCCAGGGCCGCCCTGCGTCCGGCTCCCGCAGCCAGCAGGGCCAGGGGCACGGCCACTCGGCTGACAGCTCCCGGCACCAGGGGCACCAGGGGCAGCAGGGGCAGCAGCAGCACCAGCAGCACCAGCAGCAGGGACAGGAGTCCAGACACAGGCAGACCGACGCAGCCCACGGACAGGAAGGGTCCAGCAGGAGCCAAAGGCACCAGCAGTCGGCAGACAGCTCCCGGCACTCAGCCACTGCACAAAGGCAACCCACTAGGCAGCCCAGTGCACACAGGCAGCGCGACTCCAGTGTCAGCCAGGCCAGCGACAGAGAGGGCCAGTCCGTAGACTCGGGCAGCGAGGCAGGCTCGGCCCACGCACAAGGCCACTCTTCCTCTGCACACAGGGAGCAGCAAGGACAGGCACAGCGAGCCGGAGGCTCCCGCTACTACCACCTCTACCAGGTCTCCCAGCACCAGCAGCCCGAGGCAGCCCACGAGCGCCAGCGATCCGGCACCAGGACCGATCAGGGAGCCCACCACCAACAGCAACAGCAGGGCTCCCGGCACACGCAGACCCACGAGGCTCAGGATTCTGCTCGTGGACAGCACGAGACCAGCCAGGGGCGCTCCGGCTCCAGAGGAAGACAGGGCACCCGCCACCAGCAGGCCCAGGACAGCGCCAGGCACTCCGAGTCCCCCGAGGCCCACACCTCCTCTCAGGGACACTCAGCAGCCAGCAGAGGAGGCAGGCAGGGCCAGCGCCACGAGCAGTCACCAGACACCTCTGCTCGCTCCGGGTCTCACCAACGGGAAGGCTCCAGCCACACCCGGTCCCAGTCCCAGTCGGCCCATGGCCACTCTGATGCCGCAGGCCGCGGCAGACAAGGGTCCAGCCACGGACAGCACACAGACAGCTCCAGACACTCAGGCTCGCGTCGTGCCCAGCCTGAAGCCTCCCACGGGCAGTCAAGACACAGCCAGAGGGGAAGGCACGAGCAGTCTCCCGACAGCGCCACACACTCGGACGCCGAACACGGACACTCCACCTCCAGGACACAGAGACACCAGAGACCCAGCTCTGGTCAGGCCAACGACAGCGAGGGCCATTCTGAAGACTCGGCCAGGCACACCGCAGCCACCCAGGGCCGCCCTGCGTCCGGCTCCCGCAGCCAGCAGGGCCAGGGGCATGGCCACTCGGCTGACAGCTCCCGGCACCAGGGGCACCAGGGGCAGCAGGGGCGGCAGCAGCACCAGCAGCACCAGCAGCAGGGACAGGAGTCCAGACACAGGCAGACCGACGCAGCCCACGGACAGGAAGGGTCCAGCAGGAGCCAAAGGCACCAGCAGTCGGCAGACAGCTCCCGGCACTCAGCCACCGCACAAAGGCAACCCACTAGGCAGCCCAGTGCACACAGGCAGCGCGACTCCAGTGTCAGCCAGGCCAGCGACAGCGAGGGCCAGTCCGTAGACTCGGGCAGCGAGGCAGGCTCGGCCCACGCACAAGGCCACTCTTCCTCTGCACACAGGGAGCAGCAAGGACAGGCACAGCGAGCCGGAGGCTCCCGCTACTACCACCTCTACCAGGTCTCCCAGCACCAGCAGCCCGAGGCAGCCCACGAGCGCCAGCGATCCGGCACCAGGACCGATCAGGGAGCCCACCACCAACAGCAACAGCAGGGCTCCCGGCACACGCAGACCCACGAGGCTCAGGATTCTGCTCGTGGACAGCACGAGACCAGCCAGGGGCGCTCCGGCTCCAGAGGAAGACAGGGCACCCGCCACCAGCAGGCCCAGGACAGCGCCAGGCACTCCGAGTCCCCCGAGGCCCACACCTCCTCTCAGGGACACTCAGCAGCCAGCAGAGGAGGCAGGCAGGGCCAGCGCCACGAGCAGTCACCAGACACCTCTGCTCGCTCCGGGTCTCACCAACGGGAAGGCTCCAGCCACACCCGGTCCCAGTCCCAGTCGGCCCATGGCCACTCTGATGCCGCAGGCCGCGGCAGACAAGGGTCCAGCCACGGACAGCACACAGACAGCTCCAGACACTCAGGCTCGCGTCGTGCCCAGCCTGAAGCCTCCCACGGGCAGTCAAGACACAGCCAGAGGGGAAGGCACGAGCAGTCTCCCGACAGCGCCACACACTCGGACGCCGAACACGGACACTCCACCTCCAGGACACAGAGACACCAGAGACCCAGCTCTGGTCAGGCCAGCGACAGCGAGGGCCATTCTGAAGACTCGACCAGGCACACCGCAGCCACCCAGGGCCGCCCTGCGTCCGGCTCCCGCAGCCAGCAGGGCCAGGGGCACGGCCACTCGGCTGACAGCTCCCGGCACCAGGGGCACCAGGGGCAGCAGGGGCAGCAGCAGCACCAGCAGCAGGGACAGGAGTCCAGACACAGGCAGACCGACGCAGCCCACGGACAGGAAGGGTCCAGCAGGAGCCAAAGGCACCAGCAGTCGGCAGACAGCTCCCGGCACTCAGCCACCGCACAAAGGCAACCCACTAGGCAGCCCAGTGCACACAGGCAGCGCGACTCCAGTGTCAGCCAGGCCAGCGACAGCGAGGGCCAGTCCGTAGACTCGGGCAGCGAGGCAGGCTCGGCCCACGCACAAGGCCACTCTTCCTCTGCACACAGGGAGCAGCAAGGACAGGCACAGCGAGCCGGAGGCTCCCGCTACTACTACCTCTACCAGGTCTCCCAGCACCAGCAGCCCGAGGCAGCCCACGAGCGCCAGCGATCCGGCACCAGGACCGATCAGGGAGCCCACCACCAACAGCAACAGCAGGGCTCCCGGCACACGCAGACCCACGAGGCTCAGGATTCTGCTCGTGGACAGCACGAGACCAGCCAGGGGCGCTCCGGCTCCAGAGGAAGACAGGGCACCCGCCACCAGCAGGCCCAGGACAGCGCCAGGCACTCCGAGTCCCCCGAGGCCCACACCTCCTCTCAGGGACACTCAGCAGCCAGCAGAGGAGGCAGGCAGGGCCAGCGCCACGAGCAGTCACCAGACACCTCTGCTCGCTCCGGGTCTCACCAACGGGAAGGCTCCAGCCACACCCGGTCCCAGTCCCAGTCGGCCCATGGCCACTCTGATGCCGCAGGCCGCGGCAGACAAGGGTCCAGCCACGGACAGCACACAGACAGCTCCAGACACTCAGGCTCGCGTCGTGCCCAGCCTGAAGCCTCCCACGGGCAGTCAAGACACAGCCAGAGGGGAAGGCACGAGCAGTCTCCCGACAGCGCCACACACTCGGACGCCGAACACGGACACTCCACCTCCAGGACACAGAGACACCAGAGACCCAGCTCTGGTCAGGCCAGCGACAGCGAGGGCCATTCTGAAGACTCGGCCAGGCACACCGCAGCCACCCAGGGCCGCCCTGCGTCCGGCTCCCGCAGCCAGCAGGGCCAGGGGCACGGCCACTCGGCTGACAGCTCCCGGCACCAGGGGCACCAGGGGCAGCAGGGGCAGCAGCAGCACCAGCAGCACCAGCAGCAGGGACAGGAGTCCAGACACAGGCAGACCGACGCAGCCCACGGACAGGAAGGGTCCAGCAGGAGCCAAAGGCACCAGCAGTCGGCAGACAGCTCCCGGCACTCAGCCACCGCACAAAGGCAACCCACTAGGCAGCCCAGTGCACACAGGCAGCGCGACTCCAGTGTCAGCCAGGCCAGCGACAGCGAGGGCCAGTCCGTAGACTCGGGCAGCGAGGCAGGCTCGGCCCACGCACAAGGCCACTCTTCCTCTGCACACAGGGAGCAGCAAGGACAGGCACAGCGAGCCGGAGGCTCCTGCTACTACTACCTCTACCAGGTCTCCCAGCACCAGCAGCCCGAGGCAGCCCACGAGCGCCAGCGATCCGGCACCAGGACCGATCAGGGAGCCCACCACCAACAGCAACAGCAGGGCTCCCGGCACACGCAGACCCACGAGGCTCAGGATTCTGCTCGTGGACAGCACGAGACCAGCCAGGGGCGCTCCGGCTCCAGAGGAAGACAGGGCACCCGCCACCAGCAGGCCCAGGACAGCGCCAGGCACTCCGAGTCCCCCGAGGCCCACACCTCCTCTCAGGGACACTCAGCAGCCAGCAGAGGAGGCAGGCAGGGCCAGCGCCACGAGCAGTCACCAGACACCTCTGCTCGCTCCGGGTCTCACCAACGGGAAGGCTCCAGCCACACCCGGTCCCAGTCCCAGTCGGCCCATGGCCACTCTGATGCCGCAGGCCGCGGCAGACAAGGGTCCAGCCACGGACAGCACACAGACAGCTCCAGACACTCAGGCTCGCGTCGTGCCCAGCCTGAAGCCTCCCACGGGCAGTCAAGACACAGCCAGAGGGGAAGGCACGAGCAGTCTCCCGACAGCGCCACACACTCGGACGCCGAACACGGACACTCCACCTCCAGGACACAGAGACACCAGAGACCCAGCTCTGGTCAGGCCAGCGACAGCGAGGGCCATTCTGAAGACTCGGCCAGGCACACCGCAGCCACCCAGGGCCGCCCTGCGTCCGGCTCCCGCAGCCAGCAGGGCCAGGGGCACGGCCACTCGGCTGACAGCTCCCGGCACCAGGGGCACCAGGGGCAGCAGGGGCGGCAGCAGCACCAGCAGCACCAGCAGCAGGGACAGGAGTCCAGACACAGGCAGACCGACGCAGCCCACGGACAGGAAGGGTCCAGCAGGAGCCAAAGGCACCAGCAGTCGGCAGACAGCTCCCGGCACTCAGCCACTGCACAAAGGCAACCCACTAGGCAGCCCAGTGCACACAGGCAGCGCGACTCCAGTGTCAGCCAGGCCAGCGACAGCGAGGGCCAGTCCGTAGACTCGGGCAGCGAGGCAGGCTCGGCCCACGCACAAGGCCACTCTTCCTCTGCACACAGGGAGCAGCAAGGACAGGCACAGCGAGCCGGAGGCTCCTGCTACTACTACCTCTACCAGGTCTCCCAGCACCAGCAGCCCGAGGCAGCCCACGAGCGCCAGCGATCCGGCACCAGGACCGATCAGGGAGCCCACCACCAACAGCAACAGCAGGGCTCCCGGCACACGCAGACCCACGAGGCTCAGGATTCTGCTCGTGGACAGCACGAGACCAGCCAGGGGCACTCCGGCTCCAGAGGAAGACAGGGCACCCGCCACCAGCAGGCCCAGGACAGCGCCAGGCACTCCGAGTCCCCCGAGGCCCACACCTCCTCTCAGGGACACTCAGCAGCCAGCAGAGGAGGCAGGCAGGGCCAGCGCCACGAGCAGTCACCAGACACCTCTGCTCGCTCCGGGTCTCACCAACGGGAAGGCTCCAGCCACACCCGGTCCCAGTCCCAGTCGGCCCATGGCCACTCTGATGCCGCAGGCCGCGGCAGACAAGGGTCCAGCCACGGACAGCACACAGACAGCTCCAGACACTCAGGCTCGCGTCGTGCCCAGCCTGAAGCCTCCCACGGGCAGTCAAGACACAGCCAGAGGGGAAGGCACGAGCAGTCTCCCGACAGCGCCACACACTCGGACGCCGAACACGGACACTCCACCTCCAGGACACAGAGACACCAGAGACCCAGCTCTGGTCAGGCCAGCGACAGCGAGGGCCATTCTGAAGACTCGGCCAGGCACACCGCAGCCACCCAGGGCCGCCCTGCGTCCGGCTCCCGCAGCCAGCAGGGCCAGGGGCACGGCCACTCGGCTGACAGCTCCCGGCACCAGGGGCACCAGGGGCAGCAGGGGCAGCAGCAGCACCAGCAGCACCAGCAGCAGGGACAGGAGTCCAGACACAGGCAGACCGACGCAGCCCACGGACAGGAAGGGTCCAGCAGGAGCCAAAGGCACCAGCAGTCGGCAGACAGCTCCCGGCACTCAGCCACCGCACAAAGGCAACCCACTAGGCAGCCCAGTGCACACAGGCAGCGCGACTCCAGTGTCAGCCAGGCCAGCGACAGCGAGGGCCAGTCCGTAGACTCGGGCAGCGAGGCAGGCTCGGCCCACGCACAAGGCCACTCTTCCTCTGCACACAGGGAGCAGCAAGGACAGGCACAGCAAGCCGGAGGCTCCCGCTACTACCACCTCTACCAGGTCTCCCAGCACCAGCAGCCCGAGGCAGCCCACGAGCGCCAGCGATCCGGCACCAGGACCGATCAGGGAGCCCACCACCAACAGCAACAGCAGGGCTCCCGGCACACGCAGACCCACGAGGCTCAGGATTCTGCTCGTGGACAGCACGAGACCAGCCAGGGGCGCTCCGGCTCCAGAGGAAGACAGGGCACCCGCCACCAGCAGGCCCAGGACAGCGCCAGGCACTCCGAGTCCCCCGAGGCCCACACCTCCTCTCAGGGACACTCAGCAGCCAGCAGAGGAGGCAGGCAGGGCCAGCGCCACGAGCAGTCACCAGACACCTCTGCTCGCTCCGGGTCTCACCAACGGGAAGGCTCCAGCCACACCCGGTCCCAGTCCCAGTCGGCCCATGGCCACTCTGATGCCGCAGGCCGCGGCAGACAAGGGTCCAGCCACGGACAGCACACAGACAGCTCCAGACACTCAGGCTCGCGTCGTGCCCAGCCTGAAGCCTCCCACGGGCAGTCAAGACACAGCCAGAGGGGAAGGCACGAGCAGTCTCCCGACAGCGCCACACACTCGGACGCCGAACACGGACACTCCACCTCCAGGACACAGAGACACCAGAGACCCAGCTCTGGTCAGGCCAGCGACAGCGAGGGCCATTCTGAAGACTCGACCAGGCACACCGCAGCCACCCAGGGCCGCCCTGCGTCCGGCTCCCGCAGCCAGCAGGGCCAGGGGCACGGCCACTCGGCTGACAGCTCCCGGCACCAGGGGCACCAGGGGCAGCAGGGGCAGCAGCAGCACCAGCAGCACCAGCAGCAGGGACAGGAGTCCAGACACAGGCAGACCGACGCAGCCCACGGACAGGAAGGGTCCAGCAGGAGCCAAAGGCACCAGCAGTCGGCAGACAGCTCCCGGCACTCAGCCACCGCACAAAGGCAACCCACTAGGCAGCCCAGTGCACACAGGCAGCGCGACTCCAGTGTCAGCCAGGCCAGCGACAGCGAGGGCCAGTCCGTAGACTCGGGCAGCGAGGCAGGCTCGGCCCACGCACAAGGCCACTCTTCCTCTGCACACAGGGAGCAGCAAGGACAGGCACAGCGAGCCGGAGGCTCCTGCTACTACTACCTCTACCATGTCTCCCAGCACCAGCAGCCCGAGGCAGCCCACGAGCGCCAGCGATCCGGCACCAGGACCGATCAGGGAGCCCACCACCAACAGCAACAGCAGGGCTCCCGGCACACGCAGACCCACGAGGCTCAGGATTCTGCTCGTGGACAGCACGAGACCAGCCAGGGGCGCTCCGGCTCCAGAGGAAGACAGGGCACCCGCCACCAGCAGGCCCAGGACAGCGCCAGGCACTCCGAGTCCCCCGAGGCCCACACCTCCTCTCAGGGACACTCAGCAGCCAGCAGAGGAGGCAGGCAGGGCCAGCGCCACGAGCAGTCACCAGACACCTCTGCTCGCTCTGGATCCCGTCAACCTCATACATCTCCCCATGGAAGCTCAGATTCTGCCCACCACAGGTCAGAATCCAGAGGTGAGCACACTCCTGGTTATCATCTATCCCGTTCAGGAAATGACCCTAGGCAGTCAGGAGCTCGTCACCCACCAAAACCCACCGGTACTGACAGTTCTAGTCTGTCACAATCTCATTCACGGGGACATTCCTCCGCAACCAGCGGGAACAGACAGCAAGGATCTAGCGTGCATCAAGACAGCGAGAGTGAGGCACACTTAGAAGGCTCAGGGAGACATTCCAGGCCCACTTCCCTGGATAAGCACGCACCTACTCCTGATTCCGCAAGTGATGCCTCAGGAAACTCCAGTTCTCGTCATGGTGACGTGGCTCATCACACACAGCCTGACTCCCATTCTGGTAGCCGTCATCCCCATGAGGGTTCTCATTCTCCTCTTCGTGATTCTAAATATTCCTCCAGTGTCCAGTCATCCAGAAATCACCAATCTTCCGGTGTTAACACTTTTCATTCTGTGATTTCTGAAAGGCCCATGTATGGATCCAGTCTTGGTTGGAGACATGGAAGCTATGGGAGTGCGGATTATGAATATGGTCAGTCATGGTTAGGTCATTCTCCACACGGAAGTGTCATTCAGAATGCCAGGCCAGTGGCAATTAGTACTAGGTCTGCGCATAGAGTAGCATCTGGATTTGCAGGAGAGTGTGGGAGATACAATAACATTAGCAGTAATAGGCACTCAGGAATATATGGTCAATCTGGGAACATACCAAAACAGTTAGGGTTTGGGGAGTCACAAAGATACTATTACTAGCAGTGAGAAACTAATGGGAAAAAAAATTAATCCAAGGAGCAGCTGAACTAATCAAGAATACAGCTTTAAGTGCTCACAGTCTGCATAGTTCTTTTTGGAAGGTTGCCTCTATCACTTAATTATAATCTTTCATTGGTTTGGTGTTAGTTTCTTTTTTCTTTCTCTTGTGATCTTTGAACTTTATTCTGGAAACATTAAAGGGAAGTAAGAAATCTCATTAACGTCTAAATTTGGAATGCTCTGAGAGATTGGGGTTCGTATTAGGATTTTCTTTTTCAGGGTTTAAATTTTAGATCTATTGTGAAAGATGTTATTGGAGTCAAAAAAGATAAGATCATTCTTCTGTAGGACACATCTGCTGTATTAAGCATATCTGCCTCTTTTATCTTGGCACTAAATCTGTATTATTCTGAATTCATTAATAATCACTTTGGGCATTCAAATTTGAAAAATGCATACTGTATGAAAAATTTAAAATAAACAACTCATCATATAACATAGTTTGTCTCTTCTCTACTTATTTCTCATAGACTCTAAGACTATTTTCTCAATTGCCAGAATTAAACCTTTTTTGTGCACCAGTGGAATGATACTGATTATATAGAAATGTGTCACATTTAAATGTAATAAATGATAAGTGAAAAAAAATTAGCCAAATCCTATATATTTATCCAAAACAATCTCTGTCCCACATACTCACCTTTAGCAGTTAAAGGTCTTTTTTCATTCATATATGTCACCATCATTATTGTAATGTTAAAAATACCAACCTCACTGGCTATTAGCCATATGAAGTCAAAATCAGGTAGCAAAACTTTACCTCTGCTAAAGACATGAGGAGATGCCTTCCAACAGAGAATAAGGAAATGGGAAAGTTGTTTGAAATACGCTGCCAGAGGAAAAGCCTTAATGAAAAATGCCCTTGTTCCCTGAAAGAAAAATATATGTACCCTTATGCTTTTGGTAAGTACATAAAGGGCAGAGGTCATGCAAATAGTAAGAATATCAGCATAGTTCTTCCATTAAAAGGAATACCCTTCTGTGAGAATCATACCCAATGCTTCCTCTCCTAAGTATTTTCATTTTCAGATGGGTCTATCATAAAAAGAATACAGCCTAAAACTGCAATTAGCTTTCAGTTCTCCAAACTCTGAACAGTTTGATGGTTTTATAAAAGCTGCCTTTGTTGAACTTTCTCTTATTTTTAAGCTAACATGAAATTGATTGCCAAAATTTAAAAGATTCCCCCATAGAAACAGTGAGTGAAAAGATACAGGCAAGCTTATCTGTCTAATTATCCCAAACAACATAATGTGTACACATGTGCTCTATTCAAGTCACTTGAGAGGGATACTTTCCTCCAATCTCCCCTCCTTCTCAAAGTAATTCTCAAAGCACTATCTCCAAAAACCCCTACCAAGCTTCTAACTCCATCAGGTTCCAGACCTGCATCTCGCTGAACTACTGAAGACAATCACATGAGAAGGCCTCTGTCCACTTCCGTGACAAGCTTCGCCACCGTGTCCCTAGTCTCATAATCTGCTCATGTCATTCACTATCACTGCTTGTCTCTAAAGGAGCTGGATCATACTAACAGGATAAAGAGTAAGAATCCATAATGAAGAAATAGTACACTTGAGAAATAGAGATAGTGACAGAAAAATATTGACAGACATTACAATAGAGGTAGCCAGAAATGTGTACTCTATAACTGGTGGAAAATTATGAGTAGAAGCGTAAATGACTAAAATTGTTTTCTCTTGTGTTCCTGCTTGCTCAAGGGCAGAATTATCAGACACTCTTTTTTATTAGTTGACAATAAATTGGTTTACCCAAAAAAGATACAAACAAGACTTATGGTAACATATCTTTTTCTCTGTTCATTCCTACACACACACACACACACACACACACACACACACACACACAAATTGTTTTTGTTCCCAATTCAAACAACACTCCTGAAAGGAAATCAACAATTTTAAAATATAATAAATAATTATTTCTAAGTTTATCCTTAGCTGGAGCACAACTAAGGGATAGATTCTGTCACTCCTTCTCTCCCTTCATTACACACAAGTGTTCTCCAACATGTACCAGCCCATATCAACTTCAGTGGGAAAGGAATATACGACAGTGGGCTAGAGAGATGAGGAAGATCAGCTCAAGTGCGTCATTCACAACCAGGCTGTGCCCACATCTTTGTAGTCTCCTGTGGCATAGCTTCTGTTAGTCCACAGCCATTTGCATAGCTGATCTGCAAACTTTTATCACTAGTGCATGCACAGCAACATAAACACAGACATTAAGGGTAAGGATTTAGAAACATTTTACCACGATTTGGCACTGATACAATATCCAAATGTGTGATAATTTTTCAAAACTGTATAAAAGTGATCATTCTGACGGACTGGAAACTTACACCCTTTACTTACCGCAAACAAATATGCAAAACACTTTTCTATGGCTCTCACTACCACTAGTGGTTTATATTTTGTACAGCCATGTAAACAGAGAGTCCCTCAACCAAACGTCAACCTTAAGTAGTCCAAACTTGTCTAGAGAAAGCAGATGTGATGACCAACTTGTAAGAAGGCAGTAGTTCAAAGGAAAGATAAAATGAGAATTGGAAGTATGTCAGTGGAAGTGAAATACTTAATATGACAAGGTCAATTTAACTTGGTAACTGATAAAAATTTAAAGAGTAATAAAAAAGAAAGAACCCAGAATTATTTCTATCTTAGGGAAATGAGTAAGGTATGAGATAAAGAAGATTATAAGATAAAAAATATTACAAGATCAGTTTTGAACATCATGAGCTTGAGAGTCCCAAGAGAGACTAAGGTAGGCAGACCCATGAACAGAAACAAATATATCAAAAATACATGAGAACATGAGACATCAGTATACGGGTAGTTTAAAGAGCTTTTGTAAGTACAGACTCCAGAGCCAGATTCTGTCTAGACAGAATGTCAGCTCTTCTGTTGATTTACTATGTGCATTAAGAAACTCTATGTTCCAGCTTAAAGACCAAACCTACTTAGAGTGGTTCCTAGCATATACTAATCACTCAATAAATGTTTGCCATTATGGATGAAACTATAGGTACACCTGAAATGAGAAGGTGCAGAATGGGAGCTAGGAAGAAACTCCACCACTGCAAGTTCAGACACAAAACAAATAGGAACAAAAGCTGAAATCTGATACAGTCTGCCAAGTTCACGCTTTGTCACTGAAAAGAAGGGAATGCTGACAAAGTCCAAGTATCCCAGAATAGTCAAGTAAAGAAACATGAAATGTGTTCACTGGTTTGGTAGCCTGGCCTTTGTTATCTGGTAAACAGTCATTGCTGTGGAGAGGGGGTGATGGAAAAGAACTGTTGGAAAGCTGGGATGCTCATATGAATTTTTTAAGAAACAGGATACAATAAAGACAAATGACTACCATGAGATGGCAAAAATCACTTTCTAACAAAGCTCTTTTGATTTTTCTGACCCTTAAGTACTCTGGAGTGTGTGGAATTCTGAGGTTGAGATCGTGAACAGTTTCCAGGAGATAATTAAACAGAGACCAAATCATGTACCATCTTGGGAGCCACAGTAAGGAAGCTAGACTTTTTCCCTCAGTTGATTAAGGAATGCCTGGCAAAAACTGCATATGTTCAAAGTACATAGTGTGATTTTTTTAAAAGATTTATTTTGGGCCTCAGCATGAGAGCCTAGTGGCTTAATGCTTGCTTTGCATGTGCCAGAATCCCATTTGGGTACTGGTTCATGTCCTCACTACCCCACTTCCCAATCAGCTCCCTGCTTGTGGTCTGGGAAAGGAGTCGAGGATGGCTCAAAGCCTTGGGACCCTGCATCCATGTGGGAGACCTGGAAGAAGTTCCTGGCTCCTGACTTTGGATGGACTCAGCTCAAGTCTCTGTGGCCAATTGGGGAGTTAATCAGTGCACAAAAGCTCTTTATCTATATCTCCTTCTCTCTGTAGATCTGACTTTGCAGTAAAAATAAACTTTTATAAAAGATTTATTTTTGTATTTGAAAAGCAGAATTACAGACACAAGGCAAGACAGAGAGAGGGATATCTTCCATCTGACTGATTCACTCCCCTATTAGCTGCAACAACTAGAACTGAGTTGATCCAAAGCCAGGAGCTTATTCTGGATCTCCCATGTGGGTACAGGGGTCCAAGGACTTGATCCATCCTCAATTGCTCTCCCAGACCATAAGCAGCCGCCTGGATCAGATGTGGAGCAGCCAGGACATGAATTAGTACCATATAGGATGGGTTTGTAGCTTCTGGTTAGTATCTCTCCTTTCCCAATCCCTAATCCTCTGACAAGCTTAACTCCAAGCTCTGCTTTAATAAAATTTTCAGATCCCAAACATAAATGAGATCATGAAGCATTTATCTTTACTTGTCTGGCTTATTTCATTTAGCATCAAGTGGCAGGATTTCTTTATTTTTAAAGACTAAATAATACTCCCTCAATACTCCCTTATGTGTATGTTTGCACACACACATTTCTTTCTAAAACTTTTATTTACACATTTAAGAGGTGCAACATGGTGTTTTGATACATTTAGTGAAAACAGAAGATCAAAGGAGTGTAAGTACAGAACTCAAGGAGATTTTACTGAGGGCTTGACGATTGGTTGTCAGCTTAAGGTCAGGATTTCAAGATTCAGTAAGAATGTACAACTTTGTTGACAGCAATTATTTATAATTTGATCTTATTTAAAAATGCCTTGTAACTACTTTTTTTCACCATCAGAA